TATCATGAGCTGCTATTGTGCACTGCTGGGACCACCATATTGTTGAAACAGATTTTATTCTTCACATGATTATCATTCCCTACTAGCTAGCTCTCCACTCAATTTGCTGTATATATATTTCACCTCACTTGTATCAATTAACAAGCTGATTATACTTTATTATAATTTAGCTCATTATCTGAGTTTCATATACTTCAAAATCTGTTATTCTAACTGAAACTAAAAATATGCAGAATCTTCTTATCATCTACTTGCCTTTCGCAGGCGCTAATGCCAATACTTATTGACTGCTTAAGCATCTTTAGAGTAGGCACTAACTTTGAGTCTTGCTAAATCAACGTGTTGATAAATTCTGAATGTTTGTGTTATTTCTATTCTTGATGATTTGATATTCTGTAGTCGAGGAAGTCTATTTGGAGAAAATTTGTTAAAGCCTCAAGTTATGGTGGCTTGGCAGCGACACTTTCAGTTATGAGTGTTTCATGCTGCCAAGAGATTGGAATACAGTCCCAATGCTCCATTCGCTGCTTTTTATCACTCGGAAACTTCTCTAAGGCCTGGTAATTCCATTCAATTGTATGTGGAATATTTTAGGCATTTATATGCTTGCTGTTTGAGTTGAACTGATAACTTATAGGTTATGAGCAGAACTAGTTAATTTCTTTGCTTTATTTAAAAATCAGTTAGTGCGTTTCTAATGTTTCTTTCCCTTTTACACCGTTATATTGCATCTTCAGGCTTTGGAATCTTTTAGATTATTTCTGCTTTATATCGAGTCTACAAGTGTTTGCAAATGTCTCAAAGTTTACATGATTATCTCTTTTTTTTTTTTACTGTCAAATGATACCTGTGCAGGTGAGGTCCCTTCTTTATCAAGCCTGCGGGACTTACTTTCCCCAACTTTCTCAAGTCAACTGCATCAGCATTTACAGAAATTGGTGACCTATTAAGTGCATTTTTTGTCAAAAAATTTGTATTTATGGAATTTTCTTTGCGTCAATATTATTTAATGAAATGAAACCAGCAAAGTTCGTTTAAAATTGACAACCAAAATACCTGGAGAGGGTGGAAAAAGAAGTAGAATTGGTCTTTCTACTTGGAAAAGTATGATCTCCCAGAATACACTGTATGCTGCTGCGTTCTGCTGATTGTGACAGATAATCAGCATTTTTTAATTTTTTTTTGAAAAAGAACTCTATTTATGTAGTTTCGGGGCTGATTTTTTCCTTTTAAGTGAGTTGATAATTTGTATAATTTGTATAACAATATTTGCATTTTCCTTCGTGTCCGAGTACAAATTTTTGTTCAATCGGTGGATTAAGATCTTCCAGATGACTCTGTGCGTTTAGCTCTATTTATCAAGACATGCCTCTAATATCTTTCTGTTTGTTTGTAAAAATTCAAATTCCTTTTGCAAGGGATTCACCAGTTCAAGGAGATTACATGTTCATTCATCTCATGCAACTCCAGTTTCCTCCCCATTAATTCCAGTTTTACCCTCAAGTACCTGAGGTACTGAAGCTCAAAAGGTTATTTCGAAGCCTTCAAAAGTTCAAGCAGTTCTAAAGAAAATAAAACAGGTGCAAGACGCCTCTACTTTCTCTCTTTGCACTAATTACTAAGATTAAACATAGCCCAAAACCTTTTTGGGACAGAGAGAATTTGAACATCTACGAGTCACTTGTATGCATTTGCATAGTGATCACTACTATGTCTATTTGGTCTTCACTGTTAAATCTGAATTAGAAAATGTAAGGAAAGCATCTTACATGAACAATGACATTTGGTTATTTTACTTTTTTGTTTATGACATCAATTCAAACCGGCTCTGAACATTGACCTGCGATGGTTAAGCAATGAAAAATTAAATGGAAGTGACAAAAATTCTTAGAGCTCATACTTGAAAGTTGAAATGTGTTCATGAATTTACTCGAAAATCTTATTTATCTAGTTGATTGGCTGAGTCACGTATGTTTTCATCTGTGTTGTTTTCGAAACATTTGAGTTTCAAAGTAGTTAATGGTTCATGATCACCTTGAATTTAGTGTATGAAAATACGGGCAATTAAAGCAGTGTATCACACCACATTTTGACTGCCAAAGGTCATGGCTTTTTTAAAAGACCCTAAGATACGTTGTTAACTGGATAGTTTGAATTCAAATGAAGATAAGCGATTTTTCTTTCGTCGTTATAGGATTTAGGTTCCGCAGCATTTCTAAACATAGCCCTATCCAGAATGGTTGAAAAGAAGTCCGTATTAGTTTTTCTTTTCTCATCTTGACGGATCTCTCATCCTCTACACTTGCCATAGTTTTAAACGGCTAATAAATCAAATAAATTACGACGTTGCATGTTCAAGGAACTTCTACTTTATACACCATTTGCTTTCCCAATTTTTTTTAACTTGGTCACTGCATTGGTCCATGGAATGCGCGTTGAATTTACTATTGCAGTTGCAAGTGACAGTAAAGCGAGCTGCTAAAACTGTCGATCAGGTGATATTTCTATGGGTTGTTGACGAAGCGGAAGATTATAGGAAAGATGAACAACCTCACAAATATGAGATAAACTCACGAAAGTTTTTATTCAATTCAATAATGTCTGCCTCGAAGGGCTTACAATGGTTTAAATAGCAAAACCCTAGCAAATTTCGGAAAATAAATAATAAAAATAAAAAAAACGATATTT